TGGAAATAAACTAAACTATTTTCTTTCCCGTCTGCCTGCGTCTTCTCCCTGTGATGGTCCCACTGCTGTTTCAAATTGTAGCTTGCTCAATTTTATTTTATTAAGTTTTCAAGTTATAAACTTAATAAATTAAGTTGGATCAACTTGATTCACCCAGTTGTTACCAAATGAAGCAGTTAATTTAAGTTGGGGCAGCATTTTCTTTTCAGAGTGCATGTGGCAACAGTGAAAAAGGAAAGACTCCCCCTTTACAGGAAGAAATCTACTGAAAAAATCTCCTTCAATGTATTCAATCAACTTTCTTAATGATTGGTTTGAGACAAAGCAAAGTCACCATATATACTGTATATATATATATATATATATATATATATATATATATATATATATATATATATATATATATATATATATATATATATATATATATAATCTGGCACTGATAGCTAGGACTAAGCAGCTTAAATAGAGGCAGGATCAAATGGATCAGATGAACAGTAATGAGAAACACGGCAGAGTTAGAATGGTGAATGAATTGATGAATTAAACCAGCCATCAGCAACAAGATCATGACATCTCTTTATGTCTTACAACAATGTTGAATTCTTACCCTATGCACACTTTTGTTAATTTAATTACACAGATAATAGTGTAAACCATCGTGATTTTTTTTCAGAATATGCCTTTTAGCTCTCCGCTTCATATTTTTTAAAATCAGTATTGTTTCTCTAGCAGACTGCAGCCAGACTAAAGTGAAATGTGTTTTTTCTTCTTGTAGACATTATGTTAAAGGTTAAGGCAAAACCTTTAAACCACATTCCCTGTTCACTGTCTAAAAATTTACTTCAAATGTTTCCAGAAGGCAAAATCCGAGCCCAGAGCTTGACTTTGAAAATGTATATTTTTCCTTAACTTGGGACTACATCACACAAACAGTTGGTGACAGAGTGTATGCATAGTAACACAGACATGTCTAGCTAAGTGAAGCTGCTTGCAGGCTGGAAAACCTCTCTGCTTGGTATTTTAGTGAATGTTTGTTTTTAGTCACCGAAAATTAGGGTTCAAACCTTGTCAAGCTCCTTGGATCTTCTCCTCCCTCCTGGCTTTGTTTTCTGGAAAGTCTGAACGCTTTAGACAACTTTATGCAAACAAATAAGCCTAGGAGAAGAACTAAAAAAATAAATACAGCCAATATCAGCACCTTAGGATGAACATCTCAGCATGAGAAGTTGGCTGGTTTTGTGCTGACATGGTATCACCTACGTGATGTTTGATTGATGCTGTCATGATATTTGTCTGGTTTTCCCCTCCACATGTGATGATTAATTATCTCACACTGGGATTTCACACTGGGTTGTAACATCTAGCACTCTTTGGTTGTCAAATGCTGTAAGAGTTCGTTTCTGCCACTTCTCTCGATTAGTAAATAGGGGGATTTGTAGTTTGTCATTAACGTATGTGAGGAAAATATATTTTAAACAGAAATACAACTTGCTTTTTTAAAATTTCTTTTTGATGTTTAACGCAGACCATAAGATGGACTTCCTTGGAACCCAGGAAAACACTGGAACCGACATCAACATGACAGCCACAGAGGTAAATCGATTTTACACAGAGTAAGAAGAGTGATCTTTACATTTTTTAGCTTTGTGGGGTAAAGGTCTTCACACACTTACTGTAATTGTATTTTTGAGATCATTATTGTTCGAGATAGGGTTGTTCTTAAAACTCTGTAAAGGACAGCTCATTGAGCACAACCCCTTATGTGAAATGATCCATAACATCATCCTTGACCTCTTTGCTTTGTCTTCAATTGTTGATTTTCTGTAATAGTCTCTAACAAATTTTGGAGGCCTTCAATCAGCTCGATTCATACTTACATTACATTTCATGCATGTAGACTCTATCTGCAAATCATGCAATGCCTGTTAGCAGCACTGCATTTTATTTTAGGGTAAAACAGTAAAAGGAAATAGAATACAAATGAACATTACACTTTAGATTAAGTTATGCATTTCTTTGCATATAGATTTTTCATGCATTATTATACACAGATTTTTTGTTGTATATAAAAAACCTTTAGAAATAGTTTTGTAAAGCACTGCCCATGGCTTAGAAATGAAATAGATTGGAGCATACCGGTAGTTTTTTTTTTTTTTTTTTTTTTTTTTTATGGAGATAACCTGCACTCAGATTAAGATCTTTAAAAAATCCAAATAAGTGGCCCCAAATTGCATTGGTATTTTTTTTTACTATGTGCAATAAGTTAGCTTGTTTGTAGTGGTCTACAAAGATTACTACACAAACGCTAAGATGTGAAAACTGATTTGGTTCCACCTGTTAAAATGAGAAGATTGTTTCGTACTATGGCAATTTGAGTGTAGTTATGTAGAAAAGAAGCAGTTCTGAGCCATGAGATTAAGGTAATACTGATCATTATTATAATACTAAATGCTATTTATAGTACATCTCATAGTATGTGACAAAATGCTACAAACAAGTAAAACGTTTTTTACTTTTTTAACAAAAGTAAGAAAAGCCTTAAACATAACTGTGGCTCATGCAGGGTAAAGTTTTAATAAATCAAGGGAAAAAGAGAATACATTTTTACAAAGAGATGTCCTGATGTAAGCATGCATGCAAAAAAATATGCTGTCTCCTGATTTCCAAACACAAATCACCTTTTTTAAGATCTGCTTTGCTCATACAAACATGTTTGCACCAAGACATAGAAACCCTCTGAAGATCTGGTCTTAAAAGTGTCAAACAAAATTACTTATTGCACCAACTGTATGACTTTAAGTTACCCTAAAAGCCGGGCAGGGAACATTGAAGTGGCTGTCCTGGACATAGAAACTGCTTGTCTAAGATATTATCTAGAGTGCTTAATTAATGAATGATATGTCTGGACACATCGTGGTGTTTGAAATAGAGCTTAATCTCTTTTGCTGTCCCTTATAAATTTCTGATTTACAGTCAAAAGGAGCTGACCACTGCTATTCTCATTTTTCTTTTTCTTTTGGGAAACTGTTGTTCTTCTGCTCAATACTATTAATAGATTGATTTGTTTATATTACTAGCAAATGTAAATAATTCTGGGTAACCAAACTAACATAAAGATTTTTTCTTTTTTAATTAAAGTCAGTGACAAATAAATGTCTACATTTAAACATGTAGATGCTTTAGAGTTATTATAGTGCTGATGAAAAACTGCAATCCTGATGTGCATTGTTCTATAATCTTGCTGTCACCCTGCTGTATCAACCCTAAAGGGTCAGTCTCAGACGGTGGCTTTGTGAAGCCCTGACGTTCTATCGTATTTGATGACTGAGTTGCTTTCAGAGTAGATCAATTTGATGTCTGAGCTTTTGTCACAAGAATGTATACAGCTGCAAAGCTGTTCAATAGAGTCAGTTCAACATTTTTCCTCTCTACTGAGCCCTGCTTCAATTTAATACACATGTACTACCATTTATTCCTAACCTCCTTTTATTTTATACTGTAAATAAACATATTTATGAACTTGACAATTGTATATTAGTTTATCTCTGATGGTAATTCATTATTTTTGATAAAATATGTAAATATTTATGAAAATATTACTAAGATTTGAGTCTGTTCCCTAGAAACCTGAGAAGTATAATGGCATTTCTATTCTAATACCCCTTTCTCTTGGTCCCCCTGTAAAATCCAACTTATCACCCTAAAATTTCACTTACTCAGTAAGTAGAATCTACCTAATTCTAATATGGATAGATCTGTTCTGTGAGGGTCCCAGAGAAGTGTGACAGAACCAAAAAATTAAGTAACGCAGCACCCAGGTCTAGGAGACTTTAAAACAGGGACGGCGAATTAAAGTAATTTTGCAAGCTGCATAGCATCTACCTAAACTAAAAAGCAGCCATGACATTGCAACTCTGGAGGAGCTACAGCAGTCCAGGCTTTAAATGGCAGAATCAATGCTTCTATGAGTCAGACTCTTCACAAATCTGGTCTTGCAAGAGCAGCAGAAAAATCCACTGGTGACAGAAAACAGTTTGAAGTCCTGATAAATTTGGCCCGCAGATGTGGGAATACAGCACTATGTGCAGATACCATTAGATTAGATGGCAGATATGTTTCACCCAGCAAATGGTGAAACTTGGTTTTGGGAGCAACATGTTGTGTGGATGCATTTATTCAGCAAGGAGAGAGAATGCATTCAGAGAAGATTTGAAGATGGATGGTGTTAAAGGATACATAAATCCTAAAATAAAATAGGCTGAAAAAGATTTGAGACAGAGCTGGAAAGGGATGACCATAAACATACATCTACAGCTACAATGGAGACTTTATAAAACATGGACTCAATGCGGCCGACTTTCAATGCAGTCCACACTTTTACACACCTAATGAAATACATCCATTTGTGATGGTGATGTGAAAGAATGTTTATTTGAATACTACTGCAAGGCTGTACAGTAGCATCTTAAGTTAAATTTCTTAAGCTGCTTAAGTGTCTTTCTGCTCATTGTTTCAATTATACTGCATAGTTCCTGCATCTTCTGCAGTGATGAATTGCACCATAGTCCTGTAACGGCTGGCAAACATTAGGGATAATCATAAGGCAAACAGACAATCAATGCCTCTCAGCAAGTAGAAACTCAATCCTCCCCCTTGACTGAGAAACAACTTTGTCAAGGAGCAACAGAAAGAAGCTGCCTCACTTTAAATAAAATTCAGAGAGGAGGATAGGTAATCCGCTGAGAAAGCAAGAAGTTGTGTCCATGTGGATGTTTGCATGTGGAGTTGATAGTGAAAATAGAATAGACATATGAAAGAAAGATAAGGAGACTGATAAAGACAAAGAGACACAACATTGCATTAGACACTAAGAGCCATTCCTTGCTCGCTAAAGGCTAATGCAATTGCCACACAATAAGAGCGTCTCAACGGAGGCTGTAAAAAGAACTGGTGAGGGGAATGTAAGAGGAGAGGCAGGGAAGGAGGGAGGAGGGAGAGTTAGGTTAGGGAGGAGTGTAAGGGAGGACTGGCAGCTCTGCCTTCAGACTCTCATATGAATCTCCTGGGACAATGGGTGAAACTCTCCCTGTGTCTGCACTGTAACTCTGGGCTGAGTGTCTCACTAGTAGCTGTGTCCTCAGAGTGATTGATCAGGCTTGCAGGCAGGCAGACAGCTGGCTGGGTGTGTTAACTCCACATCTGACCTCTATGGGAACAGAGCTATCTCCTCTCCTCGCCAAGCAGACTGTGGGAACCAGGGGGACAGAGTTTTATCCTCCCGCCCCACCACCGCCACCCCGCCTCTCCCTGCTTCTTGCTGGGCCGTATAGCTCATAGAACTGGCAGTGGACAGACCGGGACATGACAGGACAAGACAGCTCTGGCAGCCAGACCTCTGAGGATTTCCACTGCAGAAGGAGTTTTGGAGCTGCCTCCGTCACTCAGATAGCCAGGCATTTTTCTTGTCAGTTATTAGCCAGATTACAGTTAGTCATCCAGTAAATCAGTCACCAGGGTCTTCTACTCTGCATATCCTCATTTGAACTCTGATGGGACTCAAACCCTATCCTGGACCGCTAGAGGACCAGCAGAGGTTACAGTAAGTAGCAAACACTTCAGTCTGTGTCTTTCTCACACTTTCCACTGAGTCAGGGTACGGCATTCCTTTCACAGATTTTATTAGCTGACTTCTTTTTGCTCCTCTTCTTGTTTTTCCTCTTGTGGCGGCTGACTTGTCCTAAACACATGACATCAGATATGATCAAAGTTCCAGCTTCAGATGTGTTGTGCAGTTGTCTGAGCCCAACTTTGATCTTTTGATGATGAGAAGAAGGAAGGCATCTGCTTGTTTTACAAGTGGTTGGAGTTCTCGTCTAATTATGTTGTCCTTGCTTCTTCTCTGACTAAATCATAATTCGATGAATCTTGATTAGATTTAAAATGTCTAAAAAGCAAAACGAATGAGATATTTCATACACCTGAATGACCTTAAGCTTCTATAACAGCATTTCTTGCATGATTTGCAGGACTGTTTTTTTGTTTGTTTTTTTAATGCTAAAAACTCTGCTGTTTGGAAAAGGAGATTGATAAACTCACCCCAAAGTCAAAGGCTCGGAACATTTCTGGAAAAATAGTTCAAATACTTGAGCGTGTCCCAGAGCTTTATCTGTGTCTGCTAGATCACTGAACAGTTCCCATGTGCAAGGGAACGTGGTCGACCAGAACAAAGCCAGTACACAGAGTAATTTGCACTGACAGCACAAATAGATTCATATGAGCAGGATATAATGAAGAACAGTGGATCATGGAGTAATAATTGACCCTTTATATGATATACTGGCAAGATTTATGGAAAAATTAAGTCAGAAGGAAGATTTTAGGCAAGCCTCACGAGCAGCAACTGTATGAACATCTCAGATGGTCATTCATTAAAGTATCTGTAATGATGTACCTTTAATTGCAGGTTCAAATAAACATTTTACTTCTAAAAAGGGTAATTTTCAACTGTGTTAATCAACACTGTAACAGATGCCGATATGGGCGGTGCCACAACAACAATGAACATATGTTTTCTGTTAGATTTGATGGACGAATCAAGATTGACTGATGGATAGATAGATAGATAGATAGATAGATAGATAGATAGATAGATAGATAGATAGATAGATAGATAGATAGATAGATAGATAGATAGATAGATAGATAGATATATAGATAGATAGATGATAGATAGATAGATAGATAGATAGATAGATAGATAGATAGATAGATAGATAGATAGATAGATGTTTATTTATGATAAAGAGGATGTGTTAGTTTAGAAGTCAAAGATGTTTAAAGTGTGGGAGGCCAAAAGGTTTAGTTTTGGTCTCATCTGATCAGTTTTCACATGTTTTTATGTCTCCCTAATAGTTTTCGGCACCTTTGCACAAAAAGTTACTTAGTCACTAGCACTGTAAATAGGGTTTTGTGATCTAAACTGTCAATGTGTTGGGTGATTTCAGAAAATTACATCAAACTAGGAGTCCAATTATAAAATATTAAATTTTTAACAACAATTAATTCATTTATTTATTAAATAGTTAATTAAAAGCCCCCTATACATACACTATATTGCCAAAAGTATTTGCTCACCTGCCTTGACTCACATATGAGCTTAAGTGACATCCCGTTCCTAATCCATAGGGTTCAATATGACGTCGGTCCACCCTTTGCAGCTAGAACAGCTTCAACTCTTCTGGGAAGGCTGTCCACAAGGTTTAGGAGTGTGTTTATGGGAATTTTTGACCATTCTTCCAGAAGCGCATTTGTGAGGTCGCACACTGATGTTGGACGAGAAGGCCTGGCTCTCAGTCTCCGCTCTAATTCATCCCAAAGGTGTTCTATCGGGTTGAGGTCAGGACTCTGTGCAGGCCAGTCAAGTTCATCCACACCAGACTCTGTCATCCATGTCTTTATGGACCTTGCTTTGTGCACTGGTGCACAGTCATGTTGGAAGAGGAAGGGGCCAGCTCCAAACTGTTCCCACAAAGTTGGGAGCATGGAATTGTCCAAAATGTCTTGGTATGCTGAAGCATTCAGAGTTCCTTTCACTGGAACTAAGGGGCCAAGCCCAGCTCCTGAAAAACAACCTCACACCATAATCCCCCCTCCAACAAACTTTACACTTGGCACAATGCAGTCAGACAAGTACCGTTCTCCTGGCAACCGCCAAACCCAGACCCGTCCATCAGATTGCCAGATGGAGAAGCGCGATTCGTCACTCCAGAGAACGCGTCTCCACTGCTCTAGAGTCCAGTGGCGGCGTGCTTTACACCACCGCATCCGACGCTTTGCATTGCACTTGGTGATGTATGGCTTGGATGCAGCTGCTCGACCATGGAAACCCATTCCATGAAGCTCTCTGCGCACTGTTCTTGAGCTAATCTGAAGGCCACATGAAGTTTGGAGGTCTGTAGTGATTGACTCTGCAGAAAGTTGGCGACCTCTTCGCACTATGCGCGTCAGCATCCGCTGACCCCGCTCCGTCAGTTTACGTGGCCTACCTCTTCGTGGCTGAGTTGCTGTCGTTCCCAAACACTTCCATTTTCTTATAATACAGCTGACAGTTGACTGTGGAATATTTAGGAGCGAGGAAATTTCACGACTGGATTTGTTGCACAGGTGGCATCCTATCACAGTTCCACGCTGGAATTCACTGAGCTCCTGAGAGCGACCCATTCTTTCACAAATGTTTGTAAAAACAGTCTGCATGCCTAGGTGCTTGAATTTATACACCTGTGGCCATGGAAGTGATTGGAACACCTGATTCCAATAATTTGGATGGGTGAGCAAATACTTTTGGCAATATAGTGTATCTGAAAGCACTTAATACAGTAATAATCTACAGCTTTTTGATATGTGGTGAGACAAGTGAGTCAAGACCCTCTGCGGCAATATATTTCTGTAGATGTTATTAGCATGTAAATAATGCTAACCAGTTGTAAAGAGTGATACATTGAGGAAAAAAAGGGATGGGTGTGGCAACACGAGGTGATTCATTAGATTAGAGCTGCTTTTAACAAACGTGGATAAATTCTTTGTTCCTGGAAATAATGAGAAAATCTGAGAAACATTTAACTTTTAAATTCAGAGAGCTTGCAGTCTTGGAATAATCATCTAAGTTTCACCCTGAGTTTCTGCTATCCATATATGCAAGGTATGGATGAGTGCTGAACACCGACCCACATTATAGCTCCTCAGCCAGTCAGTAGCATATCTGCCTACTTTTGAGCTCTGTTGCTCAGCCCCTGCACTTCGAGCAGGGAGCAGTCCTCTCCCAAAGTAGATAATTGCACTAATGAAAAGTCACTTTAATTGATCAAGCAGTTGTTGCACAACTCCTTAGATTACAAGTAAGGTAACGGTGTTGCAAATAAAGGAAAAATAAATAGTTAGATTGCTTTGTTATTAAATTATTATGTAACGCCATTATGCCTAACTCTAGTCCCCAAAATGGCTGTGGCAAAGAACAAAATGGACTCTCTTCAGATTTTTTATTTTTTTTTGCGCCACAAAGTCAGTTTATAAAAGTACGTTTTAATTAGTAAGAAATTTGGAAACTATGCAACATTTTCCTCTGTCGGTCAGTAGGTAGATTTCTCTCAGATCAAATGGTGAGTGTTAAAGTGGCTGGGACAGCGTGGTTTCCCTCAGCCCTTTAAGCCCGGCCTTGCATCTACCGCAGAGAATTTCCGTCTGAACCGAAGCAATCACAGGCAGCACACATTCAAACCATCTTAGCCAGCAACTAAATGAAGGAGCCTTTGATACAGGCCCCAGCAGATGCATATTTTCTTTTTACGAGCAAAGAAGTAGTAAACAGCTTGCCTTGTTGGCTCTGCTGCAGGATTCCAAAAGAAGGGTTGTTTATATATACATACACAATATGTGAATGAAAGTAAGGATCTGAAGGAAAGATATTTTTTGGGGGGTTTTCTATGTCTAAATCTGGGAAAGACAGAAATCTCCATGACCAACTGACACCACTGGGAAGATGCTTGAGTTGTTTGCCAGTTTCTGATTTCATAAATAGGTTTGTTGTGCTATGCCTCGCTGCTGCAGACGCAGCAGTAACAGCAGCAACAGCAGCAACAGCAGCGGTGGCGGTAAACTCCAATTGAAGCCATGTGTGGTGGAAAAACAGGCCCTGGTTTGTGGAGGGATTGCATGCTTGAAGTGGGAGGGAGCCTGCTGGTTACAGAGGTCACAAGCCGAACACGCCAACTCCTTTTGGGCCTTCTCACACGCCATGCTGACGGATGCATCTCAATGGTTTCTCCAAAACCTCCTCCACTCCTTCTGATCCTTAATCTTATATAAACTCTAAAAGGTGACTTGTCCTATGTTTTTATATTAATAGCTGCTCTAGACGTGCTTTTGATAAAAAAAAAAATATCAGAAAACAGAAGGACTTTGCTGCAAATTTAGAAAGTGACTGGATTAGTTAAGGACAGCATGAGACACTTTATTATCTCTGGCTCCACAAACAGCAGCATTGACACATAGTGTACCCAGGCATTCCCATGTTGTTGTGTCTGGGTTTATTTTCACCACAGCTACGTCACCTGATCTCACACATTCATCGCATCCTCAGAGTTTTAACCTCCTTAGAGCATTACTTTCTCCTTTCTCTTCTTGGGTTCCTCTCAGGTTTTCGATAACAGTTTTCCCCTTAGAGTCCAAATGTTATCAGTGTGGCCGCAGCTATTAGCTAATAGCTGCAAAAGCTAAAGCTATCAGATTTAGAGATAGGTAGCGTCGGGCTATAATGCAGCTGTGCCATTTCCCCTCATGCATTATAATCGATCATGTTCCTGTCGGCCGGCAGCGCTGGATCATTTTTTCATGGAGATTCCTCCTTTAAATGGTGACTCATTGGTTCTTTTCAGATCACATTCATGTGATCTCTGGGTTCCTTTTTGGCAGAAAGTTCCAAATCCTTTCTTGTACTTATGTCTTATTCTGTCTTTTCTAAGAAAAGGTTGGTAAAGATGTTTCTTTTTCTTTTTTAATGAAATTACATCTCCGTCAAATTGCATTAACTATGTAAAGTGGATT